CCTCTCTCTCCCTCTCTCTCCCTCACCCACCCCTTTCCCTCCTTCTCTGTCCCCCCCTTCTCTCTTGCTGCCTTTCAAATAAATCTTTTTTAAAGGATAATTTATCAGAGTTATTCCAATTTGAACACATTATTAGGAAGTTTATCACAACCAGATAAGGTTTTTAAAATAGAAATTATGGATACAAAACAAAAGTTAATCTTCAGGAGGAAATCAGAGCAGGTATAGATATTATAGCTATTAGGTGCTAATCACTGTAATAAGGCCTGTAGATACAGGGACAAGTCAAAATCGGACTCCTCCCACAAGGAGTTTATAGTCTAGTGCAGGAAGGCACACAAATACATATATAATATAAAATCATGTACTAGTAACAGATGATTGTATCATGTACATCAATAACCAAGAGGAAGAAGTGATTAATTTTAGCCCACACAAGCTCATCTTACCACCGTATTAGCAAATGAATCGTCATTTTCCACATAAGTATAGAAAGTATTTAAAACGTAATTTAATGTACTTACTTCGAAAATGCTCCCTTTAGCCTGAATTACTTTTATCACAGCCACAATTGGAATCCAAAGAATGCAGAAAATAATCATACACCAGCCTAGAGCAACTCCCCAGTCAGGGTATGGAATTTGGGCATACTCAGGTCTATGAAATTTCACCAGTGACCAGACTAAAATTGCCTATGAAAGCGAAATACGAAAACAACAAATTGAAAGATTAGACTGCACTGCAAAAATTAGCAATTTGATTCCATTCCTTAGAAGTAACATCAAAAACAATAAAAATGAAGATACATTCAAGTAACTAAGATAATCAGAAGCCAGAAGATAACAATATGAAATAAACCAACTAAATAATTTCCACTTTTACTTTGAATAAATTATTTAAAAATTAATGCCTCCATTTACTTTATAAAAAATAGAAATATTCAACAGAGATTTTAATAAAATATTTGGCCATATATTAGATTGAAAGTAAAATGATATGTGAAATTGTGTTATTGAGCTTTCACTTAAAATATTGTGGTTTTATTGTATGCCATAAGATAGGCAGCATATATATTAATTAAGTGAGAATTTTAAGTACTCATTAGTGGGGCCAGCGATGTGTCATATTGGGTTAAGCCCCCACCTGTAACACTGGAATCTCATATGAGCACTGGTTCCAGTCTGGCTGTTGCACTTCTGATCCAGCTCCCTGCTAATGTGCCTGGGAAAGCAGTGGAAGATGGCCCAAGTGCTTGGACCCCTGCTCCCCATGTGGAGAGACCCGGGTGAAGCTTCTGGATCCTGGCTTTGGGCTGGCACTGCCCCAGCTGTTGCAGACATTTGGGGAGTGAACCAGCAGATGGAAAACTGAGATCGAGATAGAGCTCTCTCTCTCTCTCGGCCTCTCTCTCTGTAACTCTAACTTTCAAATAAACAAATAAATCTTTTTTAAAAAAGTACATTTTAGTGGTCGTGCTGTTCCCCTTGTTCAGCAATTGTTTCTATTATTTCCACTGTACAGAGTACCCCTTTCTCCAACCCCAAAACATGCATTACATGCATTTACAGTCATTACTGGTGCCTGTTTACCAAAGCACACTCCACTTCAGCCTCTTACTGAAAAAAAAAGGAAAAGGAAAGACAAAAGCTCAATATATGTTTAGCACTACAGAAAAATATGAATATTAAAGATGAATTCACTTTAAGGCCAAGTTAAAATTGTTTTTTTTTTTTTTAAAAAACCAACTGGTGATATTGAAGCATCAAAACTAAATATTTAGAAATCTGTAAAGTAAAACAAAACAAACAAAACCCAGAGATCTCCCAGTGGATTCCCAAATTTAGCTCTCTTTGTTTTACTAAAATCAATGAATAAACAATAGTCTGTAAGATCTTTATAAATAGACATGCAAGTATAACTTTAGAATTAAATGCATTAATTCCACTAATTAAATTTAATTAGAGAAATTTAAATGTTTCACAATTACCATAATTGTGCATAACTATAAGAGAACAGTGAGGAATGCTGGATTCCAATATACATGATTTTATACAAAATAGATGGTAGTCATTTAATATTTAATGTTTTGTGTTTTAAAGTAAAACTGTCAAATCTGTGCAATAAATGAAAATTAACTGGTTAAAAAGTCTACTCAGGTCTTCTAAGTTGCTAAGGGTCTTACTTTATTGTAGATATTTGTAAGATTGGGAAAGATATTTAATGGCATTTTTTAGTTTTTGAAAAAAGATCATTTATCTCTAAGGCAGAAAGAAAGGGGAGGAGGGGAGAATCGATCCATCTTCCATCTTCTGTTTTACTCCCAAATGGCTTCAACAGCCAAGGCCGGGGCAGGCCCAAACTAGGAGCCTGGAACTCCATCCTGATCTCCCACATATGCAGGGACCCAGGTAGTTAGGCCATCTTCCACTGTTTTCCCAGACACATTAGTGGGAAGCTGGATTGGAAGAGGATCAACTGGGACTCAAACCAGCACTCAAAATGGATGCCAGCATTGCAGATGGCGGCTTAACCCACTGCACCACAGTGCTAGCCCTTTAGCAGCACTTTTAATGTCATTTAGCAGTAATATGAAGTACCCAAATATATTAATCCATCACGTCTGATGGAATAAGGACATAAACCTCAGCCATTCCCTCTCATTGCTCAAAAGAGATAAACTTTGGAATGTATTCCTTGCCCTTGAAACTCAACTGAGTCTTACACCCTATTGCCTTCATACCCCACCCCTTAGAGCCACCTGAAAGACCAGTTGCTCTGAACACCTGAAAGACCATTCCAGGAATTCGCCTCTGCCTGCTGCCCCCTACCCACCCCCGTCCCCAGCCCTCCTAAAATAAAAATAGGCCTGGTCCCTGGGGGTCAGGGCCTCCATGTTCCATCACGGGCACGTGGGCAGGTAAGTCACCCACCTCTACAGATTTATTTTCTCTGAATAAATTTGGTCTGGCTGTAAATTTGTACACTGCCTCCTCTCTATTCTGAATCCCTTTTCCTAACATTTTGGTGCACTGTGTAAGGAGGCACCAATCTGCTTCTCTTTTCCTAATATTTTTTTTTGGTGCCTTGTGTGAGGAGACACCAATCTTCAACTTTTTTCCTAACAACGTCCAGTTCCAAATTACTCACTATTTGAAATGGGTCTCATAACATTAAAAAAAAAAATGTATACCCCCTAAATATGATACTTCAGCTGGGAAGTAAATCCTGCATGAACTTACTTAATGGTCTTTGCTAAGAAAATCTTTAACTCTCTGTTTCTCCCTCTCTTACAGTAATTCTGCTTTTCAAATAAATAGATAAATCTTTTTTTTAAAAAAAAAAAAAAAGGTCGGGCATTTTGGCACAGAGGGTTAAAGCTTCTACCTGCAGTGCTGGTTCGAGTTCCAGCTGCTCCATTTCCAATCTAGCTCCCGACTAATGCAACTGGGAAGGCAGAGGTTGATGGCCCAAGTAGTTGGACCCTTGCAACCCACTGGTAGACCCAGATGGAGTGCCATGCTTCTGGCCCAGCCCTGAAATCAGCAGATGGAAGATGTGGGGGAGCGGGGAGGGTTGGGGGTGAGTGTGTTTGTGGGTGTGTCTGTAACACTTTCAAATAAACAAATCTTTAATAATAAAATAAAAAAAGAAAAGAAAACCTTTGAGGCCTAAAGGCAATGAGAAACAAAACATATCTATAATCTTATGCTCCCACCCTAACACCAATATTATCTTAATCCTATAAAGTATTTATTTGGTACTCAGCTATTTACTGTCCTGAACTGTTATTTGAAGAGTCTGTGTCTATATGTCATGTCTTTCTAGTAAGACATTTTTTCCTTTCCTTCAGCTCCTAAATAGTATTAAGTGTTGAATGTATTAATATAGGGGGCTGGCGCTGTACTGTAGTGGGGTAAGGCTACCACCTGCAATGCCGGCATCCCATATGGACACCAGTTCAAGTCCCAGCTGCTCCACTTCAGATCCAGCTCTCTGCTATGGCCTGGGAATGTACTAGAAGATGGTCCAAGTCCTTGGGCCTCTATACCCGCGTGGGAGACTCAGAAGAAGTTCCTGGCTCCTGGCTTCGGATCACCAAACCTCCAGCTGTTGAGGCCATCTAGGGAGTGAACCATCAGAAGGAAGATACCTTTCTCTTTCTCTCTCTCTCTCTCTCTCTCTCTCTCTCTCTCTCTTTTCCTCTCTAACTCTGCCTTTCAAGTAACAAAAATACTTTTAAAATAGAATTTATTAATATAAACCATTATCTCTATAGACACAGGTGAGTTTCTTATGGTAATTTCAGATACCAACAACCTCCCTCATAAAGAGAAAAACTATGTACTAAAATCTGAGCTTTGCTTCTCAGCAATCAGTATATTTAAAATAAATTCCTTCAAAGCAAGATCTGGGCCATAATGCATCTTCATATTTTCTGTCCTTAGCAGAGAAGTTAAGAAAATTATTGATATCTCAGAATATTTTTAAAGGAATAAGCGAATTCATGATTTATTTTTATAAATAATGGTTTATAGTTTTTACCTATTGATAAATTTTAAGTCATCAATAACTTTGAAATTTACAGGAGACTATTTTCTCAAATGGTAAATGTTTAAACCCATGGGCTTAAAAATAATACTGCAAGCAAGGCGATGTGGCACAACGGGTTAAGCTGCTGCCTGCGATGCCTACATCCCATATGTGGCTGGCTTGAGTACTGGCTGCTCCACTTCTGATCCAGCTCCCTGCTAATGTACCTGGGAAAGCAGCAGATGATGGCTCTAGTGCTTAGGCCCCTGCCACCCACACCAGAAACTCTGATGGGTTTCTAAGCTCCTGAATTTGATCTGGCTCAGCCCAGACTGTTACAGCCATTTGAGGAGTGAACCAGTAGATGGAAGACTTCTCTTTCTATCTCTCCCCCTCTCTCTGTAATTACAGCAAAGGCATTTTAACCTATGCAATTTGGAAGTAACAACCATGAATACTGTAAAACACTTTTAAAATCATTCATTTATAACACTATTACTTTGTCTTATTGCCTCCAGTGTTATTCTTTAAATTTATATCAGAAATGCTTGCCGGCGCCGTGGCTCACTAGGCTAATCCTCCGCCTAGCGGCGCCGGCACACCGGGTTCTAGTCCCTGTTGGGGCGCCGGATTCTGTCCCGGTTGCCCCTCTTCCAGGCCAGCTCTCTGCTGTGGCCAGGGAGTGCAGTGGAGGATGGCCCAGGTGCTTGGGCCCTGCACCCCATGGGAGACCAGGAAAAGCACCTGGCTCCTGGCTCCTGCCATCGGATCAGCGCGGTGCGCCGGCCGCGGCGGCCATTGGAGGGTGAACCAATGGTAAAGGAAGACCTTTCTCTCTGTCTCTCTCTCACTGTCCACTCTGCCTGTTAAAAAATAAAAAAATAAATAAATAAAAAAATAAACTAAAAAAAAGAAATGCTTAAATGTGATATAAAATTCATGGTATATTATTACTTACAATCAAAAGGATAGGTGTAATGACAAACCAGCTAGCTCTCCACCACAGCCAGAATATCCACCTCTTTGCACCAATCATCATTTCTATATCTTCAATAAACCTGTTCCCTCCTAAAGAAAACATAAAATATGCATTGAGGCCTTGCTCACATTTTTCTCCAATAATCATGTGACACAAATTATCTTTCTGTGTAACTACAACAATGAAGTATACATCTGCAACTATATGCTCTTCCAAATGTATTTTGTACAGTTTATTATATTTTACAATTATAATAACATAATTATGTTAGCATAATGAATGAAAAGGAATGATGCTAAACTATTTAAATAAGACTGGTTGAAAATTCTATAGTTATTATTTACCATAAATCCAGATGATTCCTACTATTTCCAGTATAGCTGCAATCAAAATGCCCCATCCAGCACAGAAGTGGTCAATCAGAAGAACCCAATATATTCCAGCCTACCAAAAAAAAATCAATTACTTCAAAGTATAATTTAATTACTTTATTATTTATATATTAAAATTGAATCTATTAATTGAATTTAATCTTCACATCTAATCTTTAGTTTCACTTATGCTAAAATGCGAATGTGGGTATTGCAAATGTAAACAAAAATGTGGCTCTAATATCTCAAAAACTTTTTATTCCATACTGAGTCACTGGGGGAAAAATAAGCATTTACAATAGTTGATTGTCAAAATCGTATGCAATGTCTTATGTTCTGTAGCAGCTGCCAAGTAACTGGTAGTCTCTATTTAAAATCAATAACCTTATTTTAATTGGGAAAATTGTCTATTACTGAGCTTCTTCCTTGGAAAAGTATAATTACTCACAAGGTTATAATAAGGAAAAATAAGCTGAAACTCAAAAACCCTGATCCAAGTTGAATTTTGGAGTGTCAGTAAACATCCTTCTAAGACAAGGTTTCCTAACTTGAATTATAAAATGTGTTTCAACTAATATTTTGTCTATGGGAAGAAAAACTGTAGTATACCTGAGTCACACAGACGAGACCAAGGAGAAACAAAACCAAGCAGCAACCCAAAGTTATGGGACCGCGCATTTTCTTCATCAGTTTGGGAAATAAATCCTGGATCGTTGTTGTAATAGTTTCTTCAGAAGAAAAAGGGGGGGGGGCATGTTATCAGTCAACTCCTTTGCCAATTCAGATAATCACAGACTTCAACCTTTGTTAAGCAAATTTGTAATATATGTTCAGAATGTACTCTCAGCCCTGCTCCTTGCTTTTAAAAACTGATAGTCTTTTCTATTAGCAGTCAGCACTTCTGGTGCTGATGAAATTGAAATACAGTTCCATTTGTTGCTTTTAGTCTGTTTTATAAAGTTTTTCATTGACAGCAACTACAAGGTCTCTGGGGCTGAAGTAGTTCAAAAGAGGGTTGTAGGAAATATAGCAATCTATTTAGGTCTTTTTCTGCTAAATGATATTGCTTTTAATGTAAAACAAAATTGTGAAGTGGTACAAAGGGTACCCATATGTTCCCACACCCAGCTTCCCCTATTGTTAACATCTCATATTGGTATATTAGTAACAGTCTATAGAGGGTTTAAATCAAAGGAATACTGAATACATAGTAGGGATACAGATGAACTTCAGTATAAGAAATAAAACTGTTCATTAACTAGAGAACTGGCTACAAATATAAGGACATATGAAGGGAAGGACTAAGAAATAGAGATTAGAAATTGAGATTTTCAAGGGCTTTGAAAGTTAACCAGAGGAATCATCCCATAGAGTAAACTATGCAAATGTATTATTTAAGAGTGACATGATGAAAATTGTTTCAGAGGCTGACACTGTGGTGTAGTAGGTTAAACATCTGCCTGTAGAGCCAGCATCCCATATGGGTGCTGGTTTGAGTTCTGGCTGCTCCACTTCTGATCCAGCTCCCTGCTGATGGCCTGGGAAAGCAGTGGAAGATAAACTCAAGTCCTTGGGCCCCTGCACCCATGTGGAAGACCCACAAGAAGCTCCTGGCTCCTGGCTTCAGATAGGCCCAGCTCCGGCCATTGCAGCCATTTGGGGGAGTGAACCAGTGGATGGAAGCCTTTCTCTCTCTCTATCTCTCCCCCCCACTCTGTAACCATGCCTCTCAAGTAAATAAATAAATCTATTAAAAACAGAAAATTGTTTCAGAATTCCTAGTCACGTATCTTAGAGGACATTGCTATGTGTACATCAAGACATGTATAAGGATAGGCACTTCAGCAGTGTGTATAATAAAAAAATTGGAATCCAAATGCTTATTTTTATTGCAACAAATAGATTGTGAATTAACTAGATCTATTTGTATTTATCAACGTGGATTGATAATACATGGAAAAAAACAACCATCAGGATATGAAAGAAAATTCATATTTAGAGTCTGCTTGTTAGTTATATATAAAATACAAACAAATATGGACTGAACAATATGCACAATCCAGAGCAATGGCTTCTTCTAGGAAAAAAATCAATTGTTTTAGGGAAACACAGAGAACTTCAAATTCATCTTTAATAGTTTATTTTTTTAAAAAAAATATGTGGACCCAGCTCCCTGGCTACAGCCTGGGAAAGCAGTAGAAGATGGCCCAAGTACTTGGGCCCCTGCACCCACGTGGGAGACCCAGAAGAAGCTCCTGGCTCCTGGCTTCAGCACAGTTCTGGCCGAACTCTGAGTTTCAAATAAATAATAAATGAAACTTTTTAAAAAACTATAATAAAGCCAAGTATAAAAAATATTAATTTTTTTCCTCTTGAAGGTCAGGTACATGGATACTTTGTACTTTTCCATATTTAAAATTTAAGTTGAGAAATCAGCATTGTGGCCTAACAGGTAAAGTCACTGCCTGTGACACCAGCATCTCATGCGGGTATGGGTTTGAGTCCCAGCTGCTCCACTTCCAATCCAGCTCCCTGATAATGGCCTGGGAAAGCAGTGAAAGATGGTCCAATGGCTTGGGCCACTGCCAGCCACATGAGAGATCCTGAAAAAGCTAATGGAGAGTGAAGCAGTGGAGGGGAGTGCTCTCTCTGTCTCAAATAAATAAAATACATCTTGAAAAATAAACTTTTGAATTTAAAAATTATTCAGAAAGAGCATTCTGGAGTAACTGCTAGCGGAGTTGTTAGGGGTAAGAAAACAAGCATGCTTTTGAGCAGAGGAACCATGGGGGATATGAAACACTGGAGATGTTACTTACCAATGGAAGCAAATTGAGAATCCAGGCCCAAAGTTAAAAGCATGAAGAAAAATAATATGGACCAAAATGGGGCGCCTGGGAGCTGGGCTAGAGCTTCTGGATAGGCAATGAATGCCAAATCAAAACCTAAGAAAATGTATGGTATTCTAAATTAGTTGTTAAAAAAATTCACATTTTTTGGAAATTTTCAAAATAATAGAAATAACTCCTTTTATTTTAGCACTGCAATCCATGACATATGTTAACAAGTAACTTATTTTCACTTTTTAAAAAACATGTATTTATTTATTTGAAAGGCAGAGTTACAGAGGAAGAAGGAGAGGGGGATGGGGGAGAGGGAGAGAGAGAGAGAGAGAGAGTGAGAGAAAGAGAGCCCTTCCATCCACTGGTTCACACCCCAAATGGCCGAAATGGCTGAGGCTGAGCCAGGTGGAAGACTGGAGCCTGGAGCTTCTTCTAGGTCTCCCATGGGGATTCAGGGGCCCAGGGACTTGGGCCATCTTCTACTGCTTTCCCAGGTGCATTCGCAGGGAGCTAGATCAGAAGTGGAGCAGCCAGAACTCAAATCTGTGCCCATATGGGATGCTGGTATCATAGGCAGCAGCTTAACCCACTATGCCACAGTGCCAGCCCCACTCACTTTTACTTTTAAAAATATTAAGAGTGGGAATGTGAGAGGGAGGAGGAAGGGTTAGAGTGTGTGGAGGGGGGGTGTCACAATGTTCCTAAATCTTTATATATGAAATACATGAAACTTGTATAACTTAAATAAAATTTTAAAAAATGTTTTTACAATGTGATAATGTGAACATGTTACATGAATTAAGCTAGTGAGATAATTTATAAATGACATATTTCTCACATTAGAAATTTAAACTATTTTAGAGGGTTTTGTTTGATTTCATTTTATTAAGATAGATCAACAGGGGCTGGCATTATGTCACAGCAGGTTAGGACAGTGCCTATGATGGTGGCATCCTGTATGGGCAGCAGTTCAAGTCCCAGCAGCTCCACTTCAGATTCAGTTCCCTACTAATGTACCTGGGAAAGCAGCGGAAGGTGGCTCAAGTGCTTGGGCTCCTGCACTCATGTTGCAGACCCAGATGAAGCTCCTGGCTCTTGGCTTCAGTCTGGCCTAGCCTTGGCAATGCAGCCATTTGGGGCATGAACCACAAATGGAAGATCTCTCTCTCTCTCTCTCTCTCTCTCTCATGCTCTCACTTTCTCTGTGATTCTGCCTTTAATATAAATAAATAAATCCTTAAAAAAGATTGATGAAGAAAGACAACTGTCTTAAACTCCAAAAATCTAAATTAGCCCACCTAATCTTAACCTAAATTTCAAACAGAAACATTTATAGAACTGACAATTTAGTCTTCAACCTTCTCTCCAGATGTTCACCCAGAATCTCCATAAGTAGTGCCATTTTTGCCAGTATATGGCTTCCTGAAATATTGCATGTAATACAACTATAGATTGCATCATATTTTCTATTTGATGTTACTTTTAGAGATGCTTGTTATTTGGTTCAACTTTCATTTTGTGATGCATAGATTTAAGTATTTTAATGTTCCCTAATCTCCGAAAGAGCTGACATAGGATTCATGAAAATTAGCTTCTAGTCTGGCTTCTCTATTACTTGCTAAATATAGAAAATTTCTGTGCACCAGTCCCTCATCTGTAAATGAGGAGCTGGACACTCAGTGATCTCCAAGGTCCCTTCTAGTCCTGACAATCTGTACTCATTCATCCTTATTTCTAACAAAGAATGTCATAATAAAAATTTAATGAGGAATTTCTACTTAAAAGACCTATAGGGTTCTTTTCCCAAGACTCTTTAGCCAGATAACTAAACATTCCTAGCTTATATGTTTAAAGATAGGAGGTTCTTTAATTACATTTCTTTAAAGCTGGAAACAGCTCAACACTTAAAGCTCCTTAAATCTTTTGAGTCTCTATATGATACTAGTGGTTGAAAAATTCAGACCCATTGCTATATTTTACATAGGCAAATTCGTGTATACATTGTCTCTTTCTTTCACAATGCATGGGGAGTGATTAGCATGAAGCCCCAAACTTGTAATTGTGCAGTAAGTGGATCATATTAAGGACTAAGCAAATTCAGAAAAACAGCATGTCTCCTTAAAAAGTTGTCCCCAAAAGCATTCTTATTAACCCAAATTATCTAAGAATTTGTACATTATTAAGATAAATTAAACAAGATGAAATGAGAAAGGAAGCAGAATAACCTAAGTCATAAGTGTATTAAGTAAATTGCTATAAACTATGTAAGAGTTTCATAAGTGAACTACATTGAATTAAATGAAGTTGATAATATGTACCTGATTTTACAACTTGAGAGACTTCCTTTCCAGATATATGAGCCATGTGTCCCAATATAGAAAAAATAGCAAATCCAGCAAACACACTAGTTAGGCAGTTTGTCAAACAAACTACAATGGCATCAGAGTAGCAGTTATTATTGAACTTATTGTAAGATGATAGAGCAACTAAGCCACCCCAAGCTACTGACAGGGAATAAAATATCTGAGTAGCAGCATCTTTCCAAACCTATAAGAGAAAATAATTTACTATTTTAAAACAATACCCTTAATTTTTCATTTGTATAAAATATTTCACATACAGATGTATATATGTTAAAAATAACAATGAATTGAACACCCATGTAACCACTACCAAGCTTAGGAAATAAAATGTTACCAGCCTTTTCACCTTTACACCCTCCAGTGGTAAATGCCATTCTGACTTTTGTGTTTATCATTGCCTTTTCTTTATATTTAACTTTGCATGTATTTGAATTCATATAAAAGGCATCTTAAGACATGTAAATTTACACAATTTGCTTTTCTAAAATTCAGCATGTGGGGCTGGCACTGTGGTGCAGTAGATTAAAATTCCACTTGCAGGGCCAGCACTGTGGTGCAGTGAGTTAAAGCCCTGGCCTAAAGCAACGGCATTCCGTATAGGCCCCGGTTCTAGTCCTGGCTGCTCCACTTCTGATCCAGCTCTCTGCTATGGCCTAGGAAAGCAGTGGAAGATGGCCCAAGTCCTTGCACCCCTGCACCCGTATGGGAGACCCATAAGTTCCCGGCTCCTGGCTTCGCATCAGCACAGCTCCAGCCATTGCGGCCATCTGGGAAGTGAACCAGCAGATAGAAGACCTCTCTCTCTGTCTACCTCTCTCTGTAACTCTGTCTTTCAAATAAATAAAATAAATCTTAAAAAAAAAAAAGACTCCACTTGCAACTTCAGCCGACTTGAGTCCTGGCTTATGATCCAGCTTCCTACTAATGAACATAGGAAGGCAGTGGACGGTGGCCCAGGTACTTGGGCCCCTGCCACCCATGTCAGAGACCATGATGGAATTCCTGGCTCCTGGCTTAAACCTGGCCCAGGCTTGTCACTGCAGCCATTTGGAGAGTGAACTAGAAGATGGAAGATCTCTCTCTTTCTCTGATTAAAGACAGGAGCCTGGAACTACATCCAGGTCTCCCAAGTGATGGCAGAGGACAAATATTTGTGTCATCATATACTTCTTTCTCAGGCACATTATCACAGAACTGGATGGGAAGGAGAGCAGCCAGGACTCATATGGGATGCCAGTGTCACAGGTGACGGAATAACTTGCTGTGCCACAATGCCAGTCAGACTTCATAATATGATCCAAGCTGTGGCTATGAAATATGAATTTTGATTTTCTCAATTACTTAAAAGGATTAGTACCTTTTGCTGTGTTTTTTGTTTCCATAGGATTTTTTTCTGTGAAATTTGCCTTTTGTCAGTTTATTTCTTAGAGTTATTTGTCTTATTTCCAAGAATATTTTATGCAATTTGGAGTCTAATCCTTTGTCTATTATACATGTTGAATTTTTTCTCCCAATGTTTTTTTTTTTTTCACTTTGACATTATGTTGTTTGATGAACCAAAGTTTTTGTTGGCTAATATAGCTAAAGGCATCCATCTTTGCTTATATAAGCAGATACTTTCCTTGATCTCTGGTACCTAAAAATTTCCTTGTCCCAAGGTTACAAAGATACTATTCTATATTTTCTTCTGAAAGATTTAAGGTTTTTGCCTATATTGCTAAATATTCAATTCACTTGAAATTGATAATAATATCAATATGTATTTTTTTTTTTTTTTTTTTTTTTTTTTGTGACAGGCAGAGTGGACAGTGAGAGAGAGAGACAGAGAGAGAAAGGTCTTCCTTTTGCCGTTGGTTCACCCTCAATGGCGCCGCTGCAGCCGGCGCACCGCGCTGATCTGCAGAGCAGAGCAGTGCTTTTCCTGGTCTCCCATGAGATGCAGAGCCCAAGCACTGAGCCATCCTCCACTGCACTCCCTGGCCATAGCAGAGAGCTGGCCTGGAAGAGGGGCAACCGGGACAGAATCCGGCGCCCCAACCGGGACTAGAACCCGGTGTGCCGGCGCCGCAAGGTGGAGGATTAGCCTATTGAGCCACGGCGCCGGCTATGAAATTGATAATAATATCAATATGTATTAAGATATGGAATTTTCTTTTCTTTTAAAGATTTTATTTATTTATTTGACAGGTAGAGTTAGAGACAGTGAGAGAGAGAGAGACAGAGAGAAAGGTCTTCTCTCTGTCGGTCCACTCACCAAATGGCCTAAACGGCCGGAGCTATGCTGATCTGAAGCCAGGAGCCAGGAGCTTCCTCCCGGTCTCCTATGCGGGTGCAGGGGCCCAAGGACCTGGGCCACCCTCCACTGCTTTCCCAGGCCACAGCAGAGAGCTGGACTGGAAGAGGAGCAACCGGGAACAGAACTGGTGCCCATATGGGATGCCGGTGCAACAGCCAGAGGATTAACCTAGTGTGCCACGGCGCCAGGCCCCAAGATGTGGAATTTTCAATTCATGTTATTTCCAGATGGGATTATCAGTGTTTCAAGGATAACTGATATGATCAATTATATCATTTAGATATCGATTCAATATGAATTATATCAATTGTATAGTCTGTCCTTTTCCCAACTGACCTGCTTTGCAATCTCTGCCACATATCAAGCTCCATTTGCTTGTGAATCTATTTCTAAGATCTGTCTTCTGTTCCACTGTGGTGTGTGGAACACACACACACACACACATATACATATATGCATATATACATTATACATATATATTATATATATAATGCTAGCACTACATTATTTTAACTACAAGAGCATTGTTTCATATCTTGTAGGACAAACTCTCCAAACACCTTCCTCAGATATGGTAGGGTTTATCGGCTTTTTTGTCTCATACAAATTTTAGGCTTACTTTTCAAGTTCCACAGTAAACTGTATAAGGAATTTGACTGGAATTCTACTGACTCTTCATTTCCATTTTGTAACAACAGAAGCACTTTAATCCTTAACAAGCCTAGTGCTAGACATTTTTTTGCAGAATTGTGATACATTTAAGCACCTTTTAAATCATCTTGTTCCCTTATTCCTTGCTATTTTTTAAAAAATTTAATTAACATGCAATATTCGTACACCTGTAAGGGGAACAGTAAAATTTAAACACATGAACACAGCATGAACTGAACAAATAAGTTGATCAGTATTCCTGCCTCCCCACCCTTCCTCATGTTTAAAGCCTCCCAGCTCATAACTTCCAGTTGTTTATATAGTACATATTATATTATTGAGAACGACAGTCACCCCACTGTGCTGTGGAACACTAGAACTTGGTACTTATTTTTTTAAGATTTATTTATTTGAAAGTCAGAGTTACATAGAGAAGTAGAGGCAGAGAGAGAGATATTTTGTCCGCTGGTTCACTCCCCAGTTGTTTGGAGCTGTGCCGATCCTGTGCCAGGAGCCAGGAGCTTCTTCCAGGTCTCCCACAAAGGTACAGGAGCCCAAGGAAGGACTTGGGCCATCTTCTACTGCTTTCCCAGGCCATAGCAAAGAGCTGGATTGGAAGTGGAGCAGCCAGGTCTCAAACTGGCACCCATATGGTATGGTGGCACTGCAGGTTGTGGCTTTACCCTCTACGCTACAGCACCAGCCCCAAACTTGATACTTCTAACTGTAGTTGGGTATCTCTTCTCCACCCTCCCACATACCCCTTCTCCAACCCTTCCGTTATTTTGATGAATGCTTCTGCTAGCTGGCCTCATCTCTTCAAACAGCTCTCCACAGGCTTCACCTAATCCTACCTCCTTACTAGTCTCCTTTTCACAAGTTACCCTTCCAAAGCTTTTGTTAAATAACAATAATTACTTAGAGACTAATTTAGCTTAATCCATTTTAACAGGGAAATTCCTAGGGCCAGCATTGTGGCATAATTGGTTAAGCCTCCACTTGCAGCACCAGCACCCATATTGGCACCTATTTGAGTCCTGGCTGCTCCACTTCCGATCCAGCTCCCTGCTAATGTTCCTGGAAAAAGTAGCAGATGACCCAAGTGCTTGGGCCCCTGCAACTCACAAGGAAGACCCAGATGAAACTCCTGGCTCCTGATTTCAAACGGGCTCAGCCCTGGCCATTGTGGCCACTTTGGGAGTGAACCAGTGGCTGGACAATCCCTCTCTTTCTCTCTGTAACTCTTTCAAATAGATAAAATTAATTAAAAAAAAAAAAACAGGGAAATTCCACAAATAAATCATTACTTGTCCCCAAAAACGTTATTGTGCAGATTTCAAATAACAGGGTAGATATATATTTGGGAACAAGTGTCTTTTTATTTGTTTAAAAACAGGACTGGTCAATGGAAGGCAGGAATGTAACATGACTGCAGTCAGAAGAATGAAATTTACAACCAACACCTCTAACTGCCATTGACTTCAATTTATTTAACCTCTTTAGGGCTCTTTATTCATCAATAAATGGAGATGATGAAGCTAATAATAGTGTTCAAGTAATGATGACAACATGAAATGAGATAATGAACACAAATCAATTAGTAAGATGCCCAATAATTGTTATTATTATTGTTATGGAAAATTAATAATGAAATGAATTAATAAAATGACTGTAAGTTTCCTATATAAAATTAAAAAGAATAAGTTTCCCATTGAGTGATATTTCAATAGAAAAACTTTATATGGAGTAAAATACATATTACTAGGTCTTCAGAATACAGCATATGCTAGATTGTAGGAAGCCAGAATGAAAAAAAAAATGGATGAATAGACATATAGAAGATAGATACTTGTAGATACAGATACATAAATAGATGCAAAATAGATCCAAGTTATTTCTCTTACATATAAATCATGCTAGAAATAAGACATTCTCTTATTTCTTAGGCTATTGTCCATACTGAGATGAACAGCATGTTTATGTTGATCTCTAAGTCTCTTTCATTTGACAGAGCATGTATGCACGTGTGACACAGGGGGAGCTGGAGATGGCTGTGGCTATTCTGAGTCATGTAAGAATACTACTGCACACCATGATGTGTGCCTAGGTTGCAAATAGAAGTGAAACTGTAAACATGGTTATACACTCTGTATTCATCAATCTCATAACTATATGCAAGATTACTAAATTAGGGATTAGGAAATCCTAATTCAAGTTGCACTGATTGGATGAGTACACTTGGCTAAATATGAATCTTTCTGGTTCTTAGTTTCACCACTATGAAATGTGGGAGTTAGTGAAATAATCTCTGCAGAGCCTCTAGCTATAAATTTATATGGTTCTCTACTCTCCTGGAGATTTCAAATATCCAAGAAAAGGAAAAAAAATATGTATTTATACCCTATGTTTATAACATGGATTTCAAGGAATATAAAGAAAATCTAAGAAAAACAATTCTCATTGCCAACACATCCAAAAGAGAAAACTTGGGGTCATATTGTATTGGGAAGAAAATGGGTGGGAGGATTGAATAGTGTATCTCACAAGGAGATAGATTTAGCTCTGATATTTTTAAGGATAATAGAGATAATAAAATATAGACAATTATAAAATAGTCATACAAATCTGGGGGACTAGTTTCAAAAAAATATTAAGCCCAGATGTTTGAAGTTTATCAAAGCCACTTAAAGAAAATCAAAGGACTTTTCAACTATGCTCAATATTACAAGATTTAAAGAAAAATGTGAGATCTGGCGCTGTAGTGTAGCAGGTAAAGCCTGCAGTGCTGGCATCCCATATGGGTACCAGTGCTAGTCCAGGCTGCTCCACTTCTGAACCAGCTCTCTGCTGTGGCCTGGGAAAGCAGTAGAAGATGGCCCAAGTCCTTGGGCCCCTCCACCCATGTGGGAGACCCAGAAGAAGCTCCTAGTTCCAGGCTTCAGATCTGCCCAGCGCCAGCTGTTGGCCATTTGGGAAGTGAACCAGCAGATGGAAGACCTGCCTGTCTCTCTCTGCCTCTGCCTCTCTGTAACTCTGCCTTTCAAATAAATAAACCTTAAAAAAAAATTCCAACAGCAATTTTTTAAAAAAGGAAATCGTGGGTCTACCTCTCAGGGAAAATGTAACTATGACAATGTAGGGGAATTGCAAAAGTTTGTGGAAATGGGATTAAATGTTTAACAGAATACAAAAATGTAATGTATAATTATTTGCATTGTAATCTACAGAAAATTATTCCTGTGAATAAACTATTCAGAGGAAATGACTTAAAGTATAAATGGGCTTAATTATTATCTTATAACCAAACGGGAAATATTTAGATGTTATGTTGTCATTCATTCTATTTCATTGAAAGAAATTATGAATGACTAATTGACAAAAAAGCTGTGTATGGGTGAAATGGTCATTTTTCCATTCAATTATTCTTTACAGCCATTGTCTATATTCCCACTAAAATAGGGACCTTTTGCTTTTTACTTGTTAACTTTTTATTTACTGAAGTATTAAGATTTTTTACTGTGATGTAAATTTAAAATATGTTATCTCAAAAACTAAAAAGAAAAGGAAAGGTAAAAAGAAGGCTGGGAGGAGAAAGAAGGGAGGGAGGAAGGCAATATCATTATGTTCTTGGACTTAATGAATCATACTGAATCTGCTAAAAATTAATTAAAATTAAAATATAAAATGAAAAAAGTTTACTTTGGTACAAAAACAACTTTGAAAGGGTCTTCCAAAGTCCATGGATAATGACTATTATGAAAAAGCTATGCACAAATTTCAAATTTTTCTACAAATAAACTTAGTTTTTCATTGACATTTTTCCATGAAGTTTTTAACGTACCATCAAATAGTATAATGTCAATAATTGAAATAATTGGATATTAGCTCATATGTATATGAGATTACCATTTTCAAAGTGCATTAACATATTTTATCTTGTTTAATAACTTCAATGAGTAGGCAATGCATATGACTTTTCATTTTCTTTATTTCTTATTCACCAAGAAAAATGGTCTTCCAGTTGGGAAGAGATTAAAAAAGTTAAAGAATGCGGCCCAAGATAAGTAGAGAATGAATTGCCATAGCCTGCGAAATCATCAGAGTATATTAATCTCCAAGACTAAAATAATAAAAGTTCATAGCTTTGAAACAATTTAGAGCTATTGTGGGCTATCACCTGAGCAAAATCTAATGAGCCCAAGAAAGGTACACAAAAATAAGAAATTGACATTTCAATTTCCAACAATGTAAATGACAGATTCCCATGACTAAAATCTGATAAACTGAACATTGCTTACCAGAAAAAATAACTGCAAAAATAATTAAATATAATAATGTAAGTATCTAGAAATGAAAACAGCACTGGCTAGAAAGTAGCATAAGTTGCACTAAGAGTACCATAGAAAACTAAAGCTAATATCATTTTTGGATAGTATTACTAGTATGGCAAATAATATTAACATAGTGCTTCTTCATTTAAATATAATATTATATGGTTTTTGCTAACCAGAAGCTTAATTGTGTCCTAAGAATGTGATATGAATGCTAAAATGGTAAAAGCACTTTAAGGCTATCTCAATAGAGACATACTATCTAGAGTACAATTATTATACTTACTGTCACTAATATTTGCAGTCAAATATAAAAGATCTTACATACCAATGACACAACCACCATCTGGAGACAGACTAAAATTAAAGGGAGGTTATCTAATGCATATCCATGACACATGATTATTTTTTCTGGTACAAGTAACAGTTTTGTTTATGGGATGTTTAATTCTTGTCAAATTTGTATTATAACCTCATAATGCATTAGGCAAAATTTGATCTTACTCTTGGGATATTCACTTTTAAAGATAGGTAAAATGTACATTAGGACATTAAACTGTCAACATTAATCTTTAAAGTTACTCTAAGTTTATCCAAAAAAAAATCGCGAAGTCTCAGTCACCAATTTGCACGTATATATGTGTGGAATACTATTTTTCACATTAGTAAACCTCAAATCATTTTGGGTAAATAGGATTACTTACATGAATGAAATGACATTTAAAATCCTATTGCTAAAAGCTATTATCTCATTTCTAATGACCATTAGTCTCATGTTAAATAGCTAAGTCAGATGTCCTTGTGGACAGGAACTCTAATAAATTGAACTGTATATTCTTTGGCAATCTATTACATTATGACACTCATATGGAACCAGAGTTTTGGCATGTGATTTTAAGGCTAGCTTCCTCAGATAATCTGAATCCAAATGCTTACCTCAGCTTCCTTCAATTTTGTAAAATTTGACTGTGATCCAATATAGTATGAAATTCCTTTTGATGCACCCTCCAGAGTTGCTCCACGTATTAAAAGGATGAGTAGAACCACATAGGGGAAAAGAGCTGTAAAATAAACCACCTACAAGAAAAACAACCAAAAGTTACTCTTTTTTAAAAAAATAATGGCATATGATTGTGTATGAGTAAATTAGCCAGTTGATATCGGTAAAATAAAGTGCTAGGGATTCTGTAAATTCATTAATAAGCCTGATAATACCAATGCCAAAGGTAGAATAATTTCCTATTCCTACTTACACTTTGAAAAGACCCATTTTCAAAATCACTTTGGTGTATGAAGAAGCATTTGCCCAGGTTCATAGTGTAAATAAACAATATACCGCCAGCGCCGCGGCTCACTAGGCTAATCCACCGCCTAGCGGCGCCGGCACATGGGGTTCTAGTCCCGGTCGGGGCGCCGGATTCTGTCCCGGTTGCCCCTCTTCCAAGCCAGCCCTCTGCTGTGGCCAGGGAGTGCAGTGGAGGATGGCCCAGGTGCTTGGGCCCTGCACCCCATGGGAGACCAGGAAAAGCACCTGGCTCCTGGCTCCTGCCATCGGATCGGTGCGGTGCGCCGGCCGCAGCGCGCCGGCCGCGGTGGCCATTGGAGGGTGAACCAACAGCAAAGGAAGACCTTTCTCTCTGTCTCTCTCTCTCACTGTCCACTCTGCCTGTCAAAAATAAAATAAATAAATAAATAAATAAATAAAAAACAATATATCAGCAGTGATGACTTGGAATCTAGATAGAGTTCTTTCATGAATGTATACTTATACATGTCTGAGGGAACTCCATGTGTCCTCTCAGTAAACTACTGTACTGAAGTAAGAAAGAAAGTGACTTTCAAATGAAAGCATCGCTTAGTAGATGTCCAAATCCCACGAAAGCTTAAGTGAATATTGCTAAAGCTACCATTAAGAGAAGTTGACAGCACACACACACAATTGTACTTCTTCTGTCCTAGATAATGTGTGGTTCCAGATGAGCAGATTGCCTTTGAGGCGGACTTTTCATTAATGTAGATGATTCCTTTGATCCACAGATGTCCTATGTTTGATAATATTCTCTAGGAGACAATTTAAACAAGTCATCCAGAGACCAATAAAAATGAATTGCCTCGGTAAGTGGCCTTTAATGAACTCTCAATATCCACACCAAAAAAAGAAAAAAGAAAAAAGAAAAGGAACCAAGGGATACAAAAAATGTTCCAGTGAAAGATTTTGAGAAATTTCCACTGGATTTGTGATTGTCATAGTCTTTTCATCATGTAAAACATGTCTCAATACTATTTAACATAAAGCAAATATGCTGGATATTTTACTAGGAAAACAAAGATAGCATGCAGTTAGTTCTGTTTTCCACTTGTAAGAAAATTTTCAGTCTAGTAGTTACAAACATATATTTATTTTTCTGAGTAATATATAACTGCTCACAGAGAAAATTTTATGTTGTTCTCTAAAATTTCCATTATGCTATTTGGAAGTTTAAATCACAAAACGATGAAATGGGAAAATATAACAATGTGTTTTCTAAGGGGTCTCTTCACTGACAGAGAAGGTTCTGAGTCAAATTGGGCAGCCTTCTTTTTCTTTTTTTAAAGATTTATGTATTTGAAAGGCAGAGTTACAGAGAGAGAGAGAGAGAGAGAGAGAGAGAGATCTTCATACACAGGTTCACTCCCCAAATGGCCACAATGGCCAGCGCTAGGCTGGGCCAAAGCTGGGAGCCTCTTCCAGGTCTCCCAAGGAGGTTGCAAGGACACAAGTACTTGGGCCATCCTGCACTGCTTTCTCAGGTACACACCAGCAAGGAGCTGGATTGGAAGTAGAACAACCAGGACTAGAACCTGCACCCATTTGAGATGACAGTGCTGCATGCTATGGCTTTAACCTGCCGCACCACAGCACCAGCTTCAGGCAGACCTTAATTTAAGAGAATGATTACATAGAATCTATTTTTTTCTCTCTCTCCAACTCAGGAAGTACTTATACTGTTATCCTATAAAACAAGGACTAGAATTTCCAAACCCAACATTGCAATATATAATTCTATTAAGTGCTTATTTCTAGAGTGGAACAGAAATTTGTGAAATATACTCTTAGGCCGGCGCCGCGGCTCACTAGGCTAATTCTCCGCCTTGCAGCGCCGGCACACCAGGTTCTAGTCCCTGTCGGGGCGCCGGATTCTGTCCCGGTTGCCCCCCTTCCAGGCCAGCTCTCTGCTGTGGCCAGGGAGTGCAGTGGAGGATGGCCCAAGTCCTTGGGCCCTGCACCCGCATGGGACACCAGGAAAAACAACTGGCTCCTGGCTTCGGATCAGCGCAATGCGCAGGCCGCGGCGGCCATTGGAGGGTGAACCAACGGCAAAAGGAAGACCTTTCTCTCTCTCTCTCTCTCTCTCTCTCACTGTCCACTCTGCCTGTCAAAAAATAAAAGAAAAAAAAAAGAAATATACTCTCAGGCCTCAGCAAGAAGGCTCCAAGTTTTGAGTAATTGTACAACTCTAGTACTAGTTTTTGTGTTTTTTTTTTAAAGAGTGAAGATTTTGTTTATTTATTTAAAAAAATAGAGTTACACAAAAAGAGAGGGAGAGGCACACAGAGAAAGATCTTGTATACGCTGGTTCTCTCCCCAGATGGCCACAACGACCAAGGCTGGACCAGGCTGGAGATAAGGGTCAGGAGCTTCTTCTGGGTCTCCCACACGGGGAAGGGGCCCAAGGAGTTGGGCCATCTTCCACTGCTTTCCCAGGCCATTAGCATGGAGTTGGATCGAAAGTGGAGCAGTAGGGACATGAACCGGCACCAATATGGGATGCTAGTGTCGCAGGTGGTGGCTTTACTGGCTATGGCACAAAGCCGACCCCTGTTTGTTTTACTTTGAAAAACAGCTGTGATCTTGTGTATTTACTTAGAGCTAGAATGCCTACGTAGAAAACTTTTCACACATTTGAATGTCCCCATTATAGAAAAAACACATGTTCGATAATGCCTGACATTGAACTACAATGAAATAGGAAAGCAGCTACAATTACTGTCTAATGTGTTTTCCAAATTACCTTGCCAGAAGACTTGATTCCTTTAAACAGTGCTGCTCCAACTATGAGCCAAGCCAGAAGAAGACAAAGTGCTAAATACCACACAATTACTCCAGTCTCATCCATTCCGCTTGATCGTTGGAGTGCCACTTTACTGAAAACACATAAGACCTTTTATGAACATGCAATCACTTGTCTTAAAACCTACATGGAGTTTTGTAATATCTTTCATCCAGGGGGAACCTCCATGAGTATTAGATAATATTAATATACTAGTGTTCTTCGAGCCTTGTACTGTCAGAAACTATTTTATGAAGGGGTAGCAAGGCTGGGGGAATAGTTCGTTAAAAAGCCAGGCTCTTTATTTCTGGGTTAATTGCACCCAATCCAGGCTTCTACACCCTAGAATAAAAGATCTACCTGATTAAGTGTTTGGCCTAGCTGTTAAGATGTTCGCATTCCACATTGGAGTACCTATGTCCAAGGCCCACATCTGGCTCCTGATTCCAGCTTCTTGCTAATGTGGACTCTGGATAGTAACAGGTGATAGCTCAAGTATTTTGCTTCTTGCCACCCATGTGGGAGACTCAGATTGAATTCCTGGCTCCTAGCTTCAAGCATTTAGAGAGTGAACCAGCAGTTAGGAACTCTGCCTCTCTGCCTCTCTTTTCCTCACAAAAAAATAAAAATAAAAAGTGAAACATCTGTGATTCTTTTATCTATAATTTCCTCTTAATATTTCAAGCTCCTTTATATCATAGTTTTATTTTACTTTTTATAATGTTTTTCTCAAGTTAAAGTAATTAAAAATACATTTAAAACAAAAGTAATTATTTCCTTAGTCCATATTTGTACATATAAACCAATCCAAATGGTGGGATCATTCACATCTTATATTATATTATATATACACATGTATATATGTTTATATATATTCATTCTTAGTTTGATGTTTGAAAACATTTCAAGATCTAAAAGTTTAAAAGAGTCAGATGAGAAAACGTGATGTATATACACAGTGGAACACTATTCAGCCATATAAAGAACAGATGAAATCTTTGTCATTTGAAACAACACATTTGGAACTGGGAGCCATTAAGTTAAATGAAGTAAGCCACGCACAGAAAGACAAGCGTGGCATGAACTCACTGCACGTGATATCTGAAAATGTTGATTTCATAGCAGCTGTGGGTAGAATGGTAGTTATCAGACGCTGCAGGGAGTAGGGGAGGGGTGACAGGGATAGAGAAATATTACTCAATAGTTGTAAGCTATAGTTATAAAGGAGAAATAAGTTGTGGTGTTCTATTCCACAGTAGGGTGAATACAGATAACAATAATATACTAAATATTTTTCCAAGAAGAAAAAGAAGTCACCGGTTGTGTGTGACACAGCTGATTAAACTGCAGCCTGCTCTGACCGTATCCCATATTGGAGCACAAGTTCAATCCCCAGCTGCTCAGCTTCTTATCCAGCTTCCTGATGGTGTGCTGGAAAGCAGCGGAAGATGACCCAAGTTCTTGCACCTCTGCCATCCACATGGGAGACCCCGATAGAGTTCCAGGCTCCTGGCTTCAGCCTGGCCTAGCCCCAACCATTGCAGCCATTTAGGGACCAAACCAGCAGATGGAAATGCAATCTCTCTCTCTGTAACTGCTTTTCAAATAAATACATAAACCCTTTCTAGAAAAGAAACAAGTTAGAAGAAATGATTTTTTGAGGGTGGCATAGTGGTGCATCACTATGCACCAACTGCACAGCTGGAATCCCAGACAAGGACCTCTTGGGGTCCCAGATGCTCCACTTCCCATCCAACGCCCAGCTAATGGCCTAGGGAAGCAGCAGAAAATGTCCCAAGTGCTTTGGCTCCTGCCATCCACAGTGGGAGACCTGAATGGAGTCCTTGACTACTGGCTTCAGCCTGTCCCAGGCCCAATTGTCACAGTCATTTCGGGAAGTGAACAACCCAGATGGAAGATATCCTCTCTCTCTCTCTCCCTCCCTCTCTCTCTGTTCCTCCCTCTCTCCCTCTCTCTCTCCCTCTCTCCCTCCCTCCCTCTCTCCCTCTTCTTCTCCTTCTCCCTCTCCCTCTCTCCCTACCCCTCTCTCCCTCTCCCTCTTCCTGAATTCTACCTTTCAAGTAAGTAAATATTTTTTTAAAAAAAGATTTTAAATGTCTTTATCATAAAGAAATGATTGAGGAAATGAGTTTGCCTGATTGGACATGACATAATGTATACATGTATCAAGAAATATGTACAATTTTTATGTGTGAATTAAATTTTTTAAGTTTTTAGAAAAGTCACATATGAATGAGAAAGTGGTTTATTCAGTAGTACAGGCAAGAGCATTAGGTAAGCGTAATGTGTAGACATATAGTAAGGAGAGTGTAAAGAGATCATTTAAAATAAGCAAAAGCAAATATTACTCAAAATATCTATTCTTACCCTACAATGATAATTGTAAGAAAAGCACAAAATGAATTACAACTATAAAAGTTTTCCCCCAATAAAACCTATCATTCAAATGTTTATCATTTGAACTTCTCATTATACCCTAAAATGTGGATTTATTTTCTTCAAAGCAACACCCTAACTTATAGCTAGTTGGCACTAAATCAATCATAACTGACAGGGTTGGACGTATTTGGCAACGAAATTATAAAAGGCAAATTGCTTTATATGAGCTTCTTTCAACTCACCTAGGATAGGTAAACGTTTGAGTCAAATGAAGTATAATCTGCTATGATTCCCATTTTTTTTCTATTAATATAAATTAAGGGAGAGGATGAACATTATTGTGTTGTTCATAAAAGCTTTAAAAATGTTTTATTTGAGAGGCAGAGACAGAAGGTGGGGGTGGGGGGAGAGAGAGAGAGAAAGAGAGAGAGCGCTCTCATCTACTGATTTACTCCTCAAATGCCCACAATGGCTAAGGCTGGACCAGGATAGGAGGAGTGCAGGAACTCAATCCAGATCTCCCAAACGAGTGGCAGAAACCCAACTACTTAAGACATCAGTGATGCAGTCAGTAACCAGAGTCAGAAATTGAACTCAGGTATTCCAATATGGGATTCAGTCATCTTAACCGCTAGGCTCAACAGCTGCTCCCTAAAAGCCATTTAATAACATCAGCTTAAGAAGTAAATACTGGGGCCAGTATTGTGGTATACCGGATAAAGCCACCACCTGTGATGCCAGCATCCATTATGGGCACCAGTTCAAGACCCAGATGCTCCACTTGTAATCCAGGTCCCTACCAATGTGCCTGGGAAAGCAGAAGAAGATGACCCAAAAAGGGACCCAAGCTCTGGGCTCCCGGCTTCAGCATAGCACAGCCCAGGCCATTGTTGCCATTTGGGGAGTGAACCAGCAGATGGAAGCTTGCTTGCTCTCTCTTTCTTTTTCTCTCTCTGTCTCTCTTCCTGTAACTCTGCCTTTCAAATAAATAATAAATAAATCTTTAAAAAAAGAAGTAGATACTTACTCCCAATATTGTTCACTGGGAAGCTGCCCTGGCTGATAAATTTCACTCCCATTGATACAGGTCAAATTGTTGAGGTTTAACCAGCTTTTATTCACTTGGATGATCTCCCCTGATACAATACTCACATTACAGTGAGTTACTAAAAATGACAAGAAAAAAATAGAGACACAGACATGTACTTAGTTTTAAAAGAATACTTTCTTGGGAAAAAAGTTTTTAATGGTAAGATGTTTAAATTCCTCTCTAAATTTTTACTTGATGACAGTGGAATAGAAATCTTCCAATGAAATAAGACATGTGTATTCAGCATCTTGAATCTTCTCCACTATTAATCTGGGATTGGGTGTAAAACTATCTGACCTTTGAAACTGTGACTGTCTTTATAGTAATAGAGTAACCATAACAGTTACAGAGTAACAATTGTTCCAGTTGGAACTTAGTGTTCTAAGGAACTTCAAGTATGTCTTACTATTCTAGCCTGTATAGATAAATTGATGCCATTAAATTACTCAAAAACATGAAATCTTTATTACTTTATCCTCGGATGTACATGGGAAATAGTGATGAGCATAGGTAATTGCAGTGATAATAGTCTACAATATTGATGCTACATTATCCCAAAGATGAGTAACACATGGCATGGACAACGCCCACTGTGTCCTGAGACACGTACACTACTATCATGGAAAAGTTTTTTCTTTCTTTGATACTTTCCCATTTTCTTCCTTCTCTCCTGTCCAGAAAGTATGTCTGCAAAAAGTATTCCTGGGCATGGGTTAGCCTTCTTGACTGCCCCCTCCCCAATGATTAACATGTTGTATTAATCAATTTTGATAATGGAAATGCTAGATTCTGTTTTCACCAATGTCCTATGTACCCATTATAATTGTACCTAATTTCATTAGAAAACAATTTAACCCTTTACAATTATTTAAAAAATACAGAAGAATTATATGGATTTGACAGTATTGTTAAAAATAAACAAATGAAATTTACCAATAGGTGACCTGCTACAGTTTTCATCTGACCAAGAAGAACAATACTTCCATGGCAGTTCACTTTGAAAAGAAGCAAACAAGTAGTAAAGACTATAGGCAATTATGACATTGTAATAGATTGTCACAAAAACGGATATCAGGACCATTGTAACTCCCACACCTGGAAAAGAGAACAATTAATAAAAAACAAACTTAAGTGAAATTTCTTTTCCTAATTTATAAAAAAGTTCTCAATTTCTATAAAACAAACATTTAAATGAAAAACCTGCTTCAAATGAATTTTAATTTGTTGTGGAGATGGGAGTAATACTGTCTGAATACGTTCTTCCCAAATTTAATTGTTTTTATGTTTGGCTCTGTCTGAAACAGTTTTTCAGTTGCTTAGAAAAATGCATTAAGATAAAGGGAAGGGGGATAGATGGTGGCACAGCAGGTTAAGCCACTGCCTGAGACACCACCGTACCATGAGTGCCAGTTCAAGACCAGGCAGCGCCACTTCTGATCATCTCCCTGCTAATGTGCCTGGGAAAGCAGCAGAGGATGGCCCAAGTGCCTGGGCTTCTAGCACCCACGTGGGAAACCCAGATGGAGCTCCAGGCTCCTAGCTTCAGCTAGACCCAGCCCTGACCCTGGCAAACATCTGAGGAGTGTATGAGCAGATGGAAGACTCATTCATTCATTCATTCATATTCTCTCTCTCCTCTCTTTCTCCTCCCACCTTGTTTTCTCTGAACTCTGCTTTTCAAATAAATAAAATGAATCCCTAAGAAAGCAGTAGAAGACGACCTAAGTGCCTGGGCCTCTGCACCCACGTGGGAGACCCAGAAGAGGCTCCTGTCTCCTGGCTTCGGATGGGCTCAGCTGTGGCTGTTGTGGGCATTTGGGGAGTGAACCAGTGGATGGAAGATCTCTCTCTCTCTCTCTGTAACTCTACCTTTCAAATAAATAAAATCTTTTAAAAAATGCATATTGGCCAAAACAAACACGCCTGTTACTCTTTCTTATTGGGTCTGCAAATTCTGTTAAGAGTGGGCAGAATTGGCATTCTTTTTAAAAGTTTAGAATTCATATCCTATTGACTCCCTAATACTTACACCTTCAACTACAAACCAACATTTTGACAAGTAAAAAATGAAGTCTCTGAATTAATGTCTTGAGAGGATATGGGGACAGTATTTCTCTAAATACATAGAAAGAAAAATTCAATAATTCAGTAATATTCTGAATTTAAACCTCCACGGTTTACTGAGTAGAATGCCTATGCCTAAGACTGGCTTTTGAAACAGATTCTCCAATCATCCAGCAGAATATTCTATTTGCCTCACTACGAACAGTTTTCAGCAGTTTGCACATATCAAAATGATGTTTAATACTCGGACAGAAACATAGTTTGATGTTTAGTAACAGTCAAGGATTTTCTTTATGCTTTACCAGCATATTATTCTATGAGGAACATCCAGGAAAAAAATTAGTGACCTGCCCTTCAACTTCTCTGAATGAGGTATTGTAAAAGATATGTAAGGCAGTAAGACAAAGACTGCATATGAAGCAGAAAAAAAAGCTGGGGCCACGAAGTTAATGCACAACAAGATCGTGTGCTGAAAGAATTAAAAAGGTGAACATAGGAAAATGATACCACACTTACAATACTCTCTAGTATCCTTCATAACCCCCCTCACATATCAACAGGCCAAGACAAACAGAGATAAAAGTTAACATTTGATTTTTAGATTCAGCAGTGGCAAACTACACAGAAAGACAATTAATGCACGCCTCTTTGCCTTATCCAGTCAGATTCCATGCTTTAAATTGACAGATAAAATTGGATTTATTTATTGTGAACAACATGATATTTTGAAGTATACATGCATTGTGGAATGGAGAAATCAAGCTAACTGACAAGTGTATGACCTCACACACTTATTTTTGTGGTGAGAATGCTTCCATTGTTTTTGCATCTTTCAAAAATACAATATACTGTCAGTTTATATACTAGCTATAGTTACCATGCTCTATAATTGATCCCTTGAACTTATTTCTCCTATCTAGCTAAAACAATATCTCCTTTGACTGACAACTCCCTTTCCCCCTACCTCCAACCATTCCAGCCTCTGGTAGCTACCATTTCATTCTCTACTTTCTAGGAGATCAAACAAGTCAGAGTTGTCAACACTATTCTTCCACATAGTGCAGACAGCTAAATCCACTAATAGAACAAAAATCATGAAGAAAAATCATACAAACCTTGAAACAATGGAAGAATCCTCCAAACTGAAATTGGACCTAAGCTAGCAAACTGCCCCAATGAACACTCCAGGAAGAACAGAGGTAAACCGGCCAATGCTAGCATAACTGCGTAAGGTATCAAGAAGGCACCTACAAAAGGCAGAAAAACACAGTTACACCTCAAGATCTTGATGGCACTATCAGCACAACATTTTAAAGTATCCTGATAGAGTGGAGACAGAGGATGCTGGATTTGGGACCCAAATTTACTGTACTCTGTGAAAAAGTAGTTAATTCTCTAAACCTATGAAACAGGGATGCTAGTATTACCTAATGAGGTTGTTGTAATAATTAAAAATAATAGCTTATTACAAACCAGAAGAGTTAAAGGATCAAAGATTTTGCAGCCAGACGGCTAAGTAAAAAATCCAGCTCCATCATTTACCAGCTATGTGACCTAGGGCAATTTACCTAACCTCTTAACCTTTGGTTCCTCATATAAAGAAAGAACAATAAAACTCATCAGTTTGTGGTAAGGGTTCAAATGCAGGGCCTATGTGAAAACATTGGTTAAATGGCTGACATATGTGTTTGATGATAGTTTTCCTCCTTCCTCCTGTAAAAAATAAAATTTATTTTTTAAGACATAGGGTGCACGGGCTGACGCTGTGCGTAGTGGGCTGTTCCTTCACCTGTGGTGCTGGCATCCTATATGGGCACCAGTTCTGGTCCCAGCTGCTCCTCTTCTGATCCAGTGCTCTGTTATGGCCTGGGAAAGCAGTGGAAGATGGCCCAAGTGCTGTGAACTAGTAGGCTAGTAGGTGAAAGATAACTCACTCTCACTCTCCCTCTCTCTCACTCTCTCTCACTCTGCCTCCCTTCTCCCCCCAGAAGTCTGCTTTTCAAATAAATAATAAAATAAATCGGTTTAAAAATTATGTTGGGGCTGGCGCTGTGGCATAGTAGGTTAAGCCACTGCACGCAGCACTGGCATCCCATATGGACGCTGGTTCGAGTCTCAGCTGCTCCACTTCTGATCCAGCTGCCTACTAATGTGCCTGGGAAAGCAGCAGAGGATGGCACAAGTGCTTGGGCACTGTACCCATGTGGGAGACCCAGAAGAAGCTCCTGGCTTCTGGCTTGGGCCTACACAGCCCTAGCCATTGTAGCCATTTGGGGAGTGAACCAGCAGATGGAAGACCTCTCTCTCTGTCTTTCCCTCTCTCTCTCTCTCTCTCTCTCTCTCTCTGTAACTCTGCATTTCAAATAAATAAAATAAATCATAAAAAATTTGATCAGTTTACACTGTAGGTATGTGTGGAAATATTGCACTGCCCCTTAAATATATACAAATATTGCATGTTAATAAAATCATTAAATGAAAGAGACTAGATATATATATTCCATAAAAATAAGACAATAAAGTATTGTTACATACTTATAGTCAAGTGGATTTATTTTAATGCTAATGCTGAAAGTCACTACATTGTAGAGACAAATATGTTTGTATAAATGTTGCAATATACATACCATCATCACTATGACTAATAGAAGCATAAGTTCTACCAATGATAAGCATGAAGAAAAATAATAGAAAATAACCCTGCTCAACTACAGCAATAAAAACTTTTGATCAGCCCAGTGTTAATAGACAGTGGGAAAAATTATTTTCTTCAGTGTTATATATGATTTTTCACGCATTATGCTATTTCATTACTAACACTAATTGTAATTGACAAATGGTTAATATAGTGGTCACAAATTACTAATACTGCTGGGGGCCAGCACTGTGGCGTAGCGGGTAAAGCAGCCTCCTGCAGTGCCGGCATCCCATATGGGCTCCAGTATGAGTCCCGGCTGCTCCACATCCGATTGAGCTCTCTGCTATGGCCTGGGAAAGCAGTGAAAGATGGCCCAAGTCCTTAGACCCCTTGCACCCACATGGGAGACCCAGAGAAAGCTCCTGACTCCTGGTTTCGGATCAACCCAGCTCTGGCTATTGTGGCAATTTGGGGAGTGAATCAGTAGATGGAATACATTTCTCTCTCTGCCTTGCCTCTGTCTCTGCCTCTCTGTAACTGCATTCTAAATAAATAGATCTTTAAAAAAGGAAAAAAAAAAGAAATCTAGAGAATCTTCAAAAAATAATACTGCTGAACTAGGCTCTAAGGTAATATGACACTTCCTTTTCATAAACTGTTAAAATGAATCTACAGGGAAAAAAATTGCCAGATTTATGCAATACATTTAAACCTGATTTAGCAGTATTTTTAAACCTGATCTATTAACATTTGACTGGTGTGAGTTCAATATTTCTCTTCTACCCTTGGACAAAAAAAAGGTATGGCAATTAAAAGAGCCTAGGTCATAAATTATTCAGATGATGGGATCTTTAAAAATTGAAAAGCAAATATTAACTTTTGGAAGAAATGGTGGAAAAGATAATAGCATATCATAAATAATTCCACTTTGTTTTGGTTATATTTTAAAATTCTGTATGTAGGGGTTGGTGCTGTGGCATAGTGGGTTAAGCCACCACCTGCAGTGCTGGCATCCCATATGAATGCTGGTTCCCCATATGAATGCTAGTTCATGTCCCAGCTGATCCACTTCCAGTCCGGCTCCCTCCTATTGCACCTGAGAAAGGAGTGGAGGATGGCTCAAGTGTTTGGGCCCCTACCACCGATGTGGGAGACCTGGTTGAAGCTCCTGGTTCCCAGCTTCGGCCTGGGCAGCCCCAACCATTTTGCCATCTAAAGAGTGAGACAGCAGATGGAAGATCTCTCTTTCTCTCTCTCTCTCTCTCTCTCTCTCACTGTGTGTGTGTGTGTGTGTGTACATAATTCTGCCTTTCAAATAAATACATAAATCTTTTTTTAGAAAATTATTAAAATAGTTTGGGAGCTGGCACACAACCTGCAATGCCTGTATCCCATATGGGTGCTGGTTCAAGTCCCGGCTGCTCCACTTCTGATTCAGCTCCCTGCTAATATACCTGAGAAAGCAGCAGAAGATGGCCCAAGTCCTTGAGCCTCTGCACCCATATGGGAGACCCAGAAGAAGCTCCTGGCCCCTGGCTTTGGCTTGGCCCAGTCACAGCCACTAAAGCCATTTGGGGAGTGACCCAGTGGATTGAATATCTGTGTGTGTGTGTGTGTGTGTCTCCCTCTCTGTAACTTTGACTTTCAAATAATTAAATCTTTTTAAAACATTAAAAATAAGATAGTTTAATATAGTTCCTAGAAATCTATGATAATTACTAGGCAAACACATGCATAACATCAAATGATGAGGAATTTCTTATTCTGAACACGAAACAAGAGGCTCGAAAGAAACTAAATGCTTCTCTTCATTACATGGGTGGGTCCTTAGACCACAAACACTAAAAATATTGTGATTTCTGACTCATTTCCCACTAACACTTATGCAAAGCCCCGGACTGAATGACCTAGGTTTGGGATAGAGGAATTTATTCTACCAGTGCTCAAAATGTTTAATAAATGGATCTGCTTTCTTAAATCTCTGAAGGCCAATGTGAACATTTCAGTATAACCAATTAACAAGAAATATAAGATTCAAATATCACCACACAAAATACTGTTGCACCAAGAAAAAATAATTATAATAGCACAGTTTTACTGGTATCCAGCGATGAAATATAAGAGCATATCACCTCTATACTTCAAGGAGAGCCTATAATTACAAGTAAACACAACATGGTGTAAGTGAAAAGTTGTTTTGCCATTACTACAGAATTGTGCAATTCATTCTGTTTCCCTTTGTGTGTCACCTCAGAGTTATTTTTTCTCCTTGCTCTAATTGAGTCTACCTGAATGATATACAAGGTGTAAACAGTATTATTTTGCAGGAATAAAACACCTAGCCTTGACCTGAACACTATTGCATTTTAAAAGGATCTTCTACATGCCCAATTTGGAATACATGTAGTTGAATAGTGCAGCTTAAAACACCAACACTTTAATTACTTTTCATTAATCTCATTCCATAATTAAATTACCAAAATACAATGTCTTATTCCAGTTAAGCAATTTATTTGAACTTCTAAGAGAACTAGATTTCCCTGCATTTTTTTCTTTTTAGTTTCAACTATAAATTAAAGTGGGCTGCTATTGTCGCATAGTGGGTTAAACTGCCATCTGCAACACCAGCATCCCATCTGAACACTGGTTCCAGTCCTGGCTACTCCAATTTGAATCCAGCTCCCTGCTAATGTGCCTCGGAGGGCAGCAGAAGATAGCCTAAGTGCTTGGGCCCATGCCACTCCTGTGTGAGACCCAGATGGAACTTCCAGATCCTGACTTCAGCCTGGCCCAAGAGTCAGGCCATTGAAGCCATTTGGGGGCTGAATCAGCAGGTGGAAGATCTCTCTCTTTCTCTCTTTGTCTCTCCCTCTCTCTGTAATTCTGCCTTTCAAATGAACAAAATAAATATTTTAAAAAATTAACAAAGCACAACTTGGATCTAAGCAGATCATCATAGGCATATGTATAAATTATAAAGAGTAAACCCTAGTTGAAAATTATATGGGATCTCAAATCAGTAGCTCTGAAGTGCTAAATATAAAACTTGCATGAAGTTTGTAACTGGGGATTTTGTGAAGTCAGCTTCCTAACTTGAGGTAGTAGCTCATACTCTAAGAATAAATACAGTAAGCTTGTTTCCCATTTTCCCATTAACCCAAGTTATCTTATACCTTTATTCAACTATTAAAATATCATCAGATGCATACAATATCCCACTTAAAATGAGAGGGAAAAGAAGGGGATATACCTCCACCGTTGTTGTATGTCAGATATGGGAATCTCCACACATTTCCCAGTCCCACTGCATATCCAACCAGAGACAGAAGATAGTCTGATTTTTTGGACCAGTTACCACGTTCCTGATTCTCATCATTTTCATCAACATGGAAATTCTCAGACGAAGCTGTCACTTTCTAAGGAAATGAAAATATCAAGTTTGTCCTTCTGCTGTTAAAATCAGAAGCATAATTTCACAAATCTATAGTTACAGAAAAGGTAAGGAGAAAGAATAAGTCCTGAAAAACCATAGCCAAGGAGAATTCTTCCCAAAGTTTGGGAGAACCCTTGTGGATTCTCCCAAATAAACTAATACTTATTTACAAAATGTGCCCCCTTGAAATGAAAAAAAAATGTTTTGCAGGTAAATAGTTTTACTACTCCTTCAGCTTGAGATTAGCCAAATTTTTGTGAAAGGTTTAATGTTATTCCAGCATGAATTGTCAAAAAAAAGTAGACAAAGCAGGTTTCAAATAAGAAAGTCTAAGATGAAGTAGGTAAAGTCAATATTCTTGAGATTGTAGCAGATCTTTAAGAAGAATCAAATGTAGCTTTTACTGGAAAAAAAAAGAAATCATGGATGCCTTTTCTTAGGGGCAGGTAGTTTTAGATGTTAGAAATTAAGGGAAATTCAACTTCTCTCTGTGTCTTGGAGGGAAAAGTCAGGGCTTTGCTACAAGCTACAGAATAAAATGCAGAGACAAATTCTCCTGTCCCACAAGGTGGAGCAACTCTCTGGCCACTTGGGGTTAGGGTGTGTACGGAGGAGCAGGGCTTTTCTCCCCACTCGCCAGCTGCCCTGAGCTACGGAGGGTTCCTCAGGACAGATAAGGGCAGTGCATTTTTCCGTTTTCTTCTACCATATGGACACAATCTCGGGAGGGACAGAGAAAAGGATTCGGTGCACGCACCCTGGCTACCACAATAATACTGTTCTCTAGTTCCTCAATTCTCTGAGGACATCTCAGGCACACCTGAAGATAGTTGAACAGAACTGTGGGGAACAAGAAGCAGCCACAGAAAACAAAATCTGACACCAGACCTCTCCTCTTAACTTTTCCCTTCCCGGGCCCTCCACTTCCCCACAGCTCTCAGACCCCTACCTCCTTCCTTCTGCACTTGAAGAAGCTTGGGCACTTCAAATTGTCCATGGTTCACTCACTCCCTCGGCTTGCTCCGCCTCGTCTCCTCTCACAGTCTGGCTGGGCTTGACTGGAGCAGGTGCACACTCCTCCGTTCCTACCTGCCAGAGTGAGCCACCTTGCCCAGGGGTGGGACCATTTATGGAGGGAAGTTCTCCCTCCCCCTCCTGGGTGCTCAGTCGTGTCAATTACCTGAAGGGACTAAAGTGAGGCTCTGGTTTTTCCCCGGGTAAGCCAGCATGTAGCAATTCCCTGCCCCAGCCCCAGGAAAGGGCTGGGCTGTGAGAGCCTGAACCGAAATGACTGACAGCCTTTGACTCAGAGCTGCGCAGGTGCCTTCACAATCTCGCCTCCTTTCCTAGGTTCCCTGCTTCCTCCTAACTTCGCCTTTCTGTCCGGTCTCTGTCCTGGGGCCAAGTGCTGATCTCCACTGGTGTAGAAGCTAGGAGGGATGCAGTCTCTGAGGTCCACTCTATCCCCCAAGGTTCACCTAAACAGACTATACTGCCCTGAGCCCACGGATTTCCCAAAATTTTGCCCCTTGTTAAACAGTAATTGATCCTGTTGGGGCAAACGCTGCTTCCAGAGGGAAAGCTCCTGAATTGGGCACCTTGACAGGCAGCCAGCTCAGATAAGATTACCCAGCTGGCTCTGCCTGAAAAGAGTGACTTTGAGTCCATGTCTTAGGCTCCTTTCTCAGCCTTCAGGACAGCTTTGCCTTTTACAGGGATTGCATTGTGTAGAATTTCAAAGAAGCCAAACACAAACAAATTATTGAGCAGGTTTATGGGAAATTCTAGCCTTATCAAAGGACTCCACTCTGCAAAGTAAGGTGAGGTCTAGAAATAAACTATAAGGAAATATTCTAGCTTGACCAGGAAAGAAATAATTACTTTACTGCTACGTTTACCAGTGCAGCACATTTTCATCAGAAAAGTCAAAGGATTTAAACTCAGTATGTCCAGGGAGGAGACGGTGACAGTTCTATGAAGCGCAGCACAAATCCACGTACAAAGAATAAACAGAAGAGAGCCAAATTCTGTATCCTATGTATAGCCCCTTTGTTCTCCACTGACCAACAAGAATTTTCCATTTGCAATAAAAATACACCCTTGGGAATCTGGGCAGGTGAGACAGAGGAATGTCCACAAGGGAAACAGGAAGGTTTAGGGAGAAAGTATCAATAAATTTTATATAATTTGATATATTTTTAAAGTGATAAGCAAGATAGCAAAATGTAATGAAGGGAATATACCTGATAGGCCAGGCAGGCTTCTCAGGAAAGAATAGAGCACGCAGTCCTCTTTGGACTAGAGATATTATGGATATGAGCAGGGGACCTCCCTTTCTCCTCTCTTCTCCCTTTCCAGGATATTGATGAGTGGATGGCTTCCTGGGCATGGGATTCCTGAAATCCCTTCCAGTGTTACTGGACCTAATACCCCCTTGGTGTAGGGTACTGGAACCTTTCTCTAAGATACCCCCAGGAGAGGGCTGGAACCCACCTTAACAAGGTTATAGAACAAAGACAAGACTTTTGATATGTAAATGCTGGTCAACTTCCTTAACTTGCTTTTACATTTCTTTCCTTATTCAACCACATACAAATTCCTATTTTTTTGGACACTCTCAGATACATTGACCCCTCAAGAAAGTAACCCATAATCTTACGGGAGTAGAATGGGTGACGGTATGTCTTTTGTAGTGTCTTAGAACTGGCATATGGGCATAGAGCTGGTTATGGATTTTTTTTTCTTGCTGTCTTATCCTATGGTATTCGGAGGTGGCATAGAAAAAAATTGCAATTTGTGGTCCAGAGGATTGGTCACATGGCCCAATGGGATATGCTGTCAGCCCTGACCTCACAACCATCCTGAGCTGGATACCCTGTATTGTATTAGAGGTAAAACAAAGGAATGTATTAAAGGAACGTGCTCCAAAGAGAAGCAGCAGAGTCTGGCATGTGGTGCAGCAGGTTAAGCCACTGCCTGCAATGCCAGAATCCCATATAGGCACTGGTTCCAGTCTCGGCTGCTCCACTTCCAATCCAGCTCCCTGCTAATGCACCTGGGAATAGGAGCAGAAGACGACTCCAGTGCTTGAGCTCCCGCCACTCACATTGGAGACCCAGATGAAGCTACTGGCTCCTGGTTTTGGCCTAGCCCTGTCCTGGCTATTGTAGTCATTTGGGGAGTGAACTAGTGGATGGAAGACCTCTCTCCTTCCTTTTCTTTCTCTGTAAATCTGCCTTTCAAATAAATAAATAAATAAATCCTTTAAAAAGAAAAAAAAAAAAACAGAAGCAGTAAGAATATGGGAGCTATAAGATCTAGGGGAGACAACAACCAGGATTTCCGTGACTCAATGCTGGGCCAGAAATTATAAGCCTGTTCGGCTTGGTCCTGGAGTTGTCTCACCTTATCCAAGTGATGGTGAATATGGCTTTGTACATGTCCAGTCTGACCCTAAAACAACACTCTTCATAGGGCATGGCACAGACACTCCCTTGGGCAGCAGTTAGCATGTCTAAGGCTCATGTGTTTTGAAGGTCTGGGTTTCACAATCCTACCATGAGGGCTCTAGGCATGGTAGCTTGCTCTTGAGAGCCTAATATGGAGGCTTTGCTGTTTCCCCGTACCTAGGGATCTATAACCTGTTATAGAAATGTCAGCGCTGATTTAAGGTTGTAGGGATTTGATGCATAACCTGTATCCTCTCTGGGGCCAGTCTCTGTTCCATTGGGGTATGAGCCCTAGCTAGTATACTTCCTGACAGATCAGTTGTGCTTTTTCTTTGGACATGCAGTAGACACATTCTGTCAGGAAGTTAAGGGTGCTTCGCAAATGCCCACCACTGGTGTCTCAGATAGAAGAACAGACTGGCAAATCATCTACGTTTCAGATCGTCTCTCCACCCCCATCTAGAGCTGGGTCCTTTGGGTCCTCCACAAGGGCCCATCCAAATAGGTGCCAGTTTTCTCTAAATCCTTGTGGCAATAGTCCAAGTTAGCTGTTACTTTATGCCTTGTTTGCTAAATGATTTAAAGGCAAATAGGAAGTGACAATAGGGGGTTTTAGGTTTAATAATAATCAAGCAGGTTTTAATACCTGGCCAGGTATGTGTGAGGCCCAAACCTGTGGGATAACAGATAGATCTCTCTCTTCATGCACGGTACTGGAACAGACAGTACAAAGGAAGCCTGAATCTCCTTAAGGAAGGCACCCCCTTGATTCCTAGTGCCTGGCTGGACTGGGAGGAGAGTTGTCTTAAATAGGAGATTACCAGAATAGATACCTAATATATCTAAAACAAAATTCATGACCCTAGGTTCCATCCCCTCAATAAAAATGGTTGATTTTGGAGCCAGGCAGGGCAAAGGGCTTCCTCAGCTTAGACAGACTGAGTCTATAGTTCTGACTTGGGAGTCCTTCAGTCCTTGAGGCAGCTCCATTCCCAGTGGCCTGGCTGTTGGCAGAGTAGACAGGACTCTTTCAAGGGCTGGCTTCTGTTGCAACCGCTGCTTGCCCAATGCCCTTCTTTCTCCCATTGAAAACAGCTGCTGTTCAGAATGGCCTTGTTGGGTCTCTTTTGACAGCAGATTACCAAGTAAAGCAGGTATTAATTGAGCCTGCTGGCTATATTTATGCTGCTTCCTTCGCCCAGCTAACTCCTCTCGTTGCTAGTCTCTTTTAAAATAAACCACTGAGGCAGCTTTTAGGATGTCACCAAGGGGGTGGTTGGTCCCATCCCAAATTTTTGAAGCTCTCTTCCAATCAGGGGAAGTCTGAGCTAGAAATCTGTAGTCATGGGCATGTTCTGACACTCTCTTTTCCTGTGAGTTACATTGATGCCCATGAGGAGAACTATGTCAATTCACATAAGATCAAACATGTCAGTCACCTTATACTATATCTATCTATCCATTTATTAGGGTCTTTAGTAAAGCTTCTCATCTCTTCCTTTATTTGTTTCAAAAAGGAGACTTCTGTACATTTAATGTACCCATGGCAGGAAATATCTAGCTGTAAAATAATAATTTAAGTTTTTTTTTTTTTTGCCATGATTCTTCATTCTCTAATTTTACGGTGGACAGGCAGTGTTACAGAGAAAGGTTAAAGTGTGAGGGTCAAACTGCATCCTAGTGGAGAATTGTGTGGTATAGAATAAATTTCCCATCTGGAAGAGAATACAAGAGAAATGAGGCAACAAGTCAGGGCTCTCTGATCATTTCCCTCCTTGGAGAAGAGCCAGTGGCTTTTCCTCTGGGATTTAGAACTTAACCAGTTTTCATCACATAACCCACTTCCTGGGATTTTGGATTTAACCAGTACCCACCGTGTAACCCAAATACATTCAGCTCTTAGTCTCTTCCCATGAGCCTTCCCTTCACATGGCAGGAGATAAAGGTCAGCTTTGGAACCTGGTTCCTAAAATGGTGTTTGACCCAGAACTGTGAGATGCTACAGACAAGGGAGAGAGCACACACTCTTGCTACCCCACCCCACCCCACTCCCACCTTTCAACCAAGACAACAGGCAGGACAAGCCATGTCTGGTATAAAGGTATGGGGGAGGGGTTCTCTCTGGAACCTGTCTCACCAGCAGAGAGCAATCCTGACATGTAAAACATCAGAGCTTTATATAGACACAGCACAAGTATGGCCTCATTTTATAAACTGACAATGCATTTCACACAATCTAAATGAACTCAAACAGCTATTGTCTCTCCCAGTTGAGGGCCTCACCCTTTGAGATTTCCAGGGATTCAGCTGGATGTCTCAGAAGCAAAAGACTCGGTTTAGAACTTTAAAGGATTGTCAGAGGTTCAAACAATTTGGTCAAAATAAAATCTTAAGTAATTGTGAAAGTAATAACCCATTCAATCTGAGTGCTTTAACCAAACCTTGTGGACCAGATCTAATCATAGTTAAGATAATCACATACACATTTTTAAATAGGCAAATAATGTTAACTCCTTTAAGATTCAATTCTCCCAAGCAATCAAGACTCAATAAAGACAACAGAAAACATGAGAGACATTCCCCTGAGGTGCTTAAAATTCTCCTCACCTAGGTCCATCACAAAAACACAGAAAACCCTTGATTAAAAGCATTAGCACATGCAATCAACATCCCATCACTTAGGACAGTTCAATACATAAAGAATCAGGTAATTCTGGACTTC